TTCTTATCAGATACTTTGTTTTATAGGGCCAAGTTAGAAGGAATCTTTCAATCAGCACAATCTCTTATTAGAAACTGAGATAAATGTCTGTATATATATGTTGTGCGTGTATGTGTTGTGTGTGTTTTTGGCCTTGTGCGTGTGTTTTTGGCGTGTTGCGCGTGCGTTTATGTGTGTAGCGCGTGTGTTTTTCCGTATGTGTTTTGTATATTGTGCGTGTGTGTATGCGTTAAACGATGTGCGTATTTGTTGTGTGTTATGCGTGTTGCACGTGTGCCTATGTATTGTGTGTATGTGTTATGTGTATGTGTGTGTAATTCGTGTGTGTTTTGTGTCTTGTGCGTGTGTGTATGTGTTGTGCGCTGTGTGTATATGTTGAATCTTTTGTGTACTGTGTGTATGCGTTGCATATACTGTGTGTATTTGCTGTATGTTCATGTTTTGTGTGTATTTTGTGCATGTGTTGTATGTCTTGTATCAATCCATATCCAAGATGATAAGGAACAATTCTCCGCCCAGCCATCAGTACCCGCCAAGCTATCACATCCGGACATACGCTGCCACTTCCTGTTATTTGTCTCTATCACTTCTCCTTACTTCTTTAGAATTCCCTGGTAGCGGCTTCCTCCCTGTACGTACTTATTCTTACCTAAATATATTTTCAGAGATATAAAAAAATTGCGATTTACTTAATTAAAAAAATATTCGAAAACCTTACACAATATGTTTCCTGATTAATTAGATTTCCATCATGAATGGCAAGTTTCTTATCTCCTATACATTTACACCTACACTTACTGTAATGAAACCTCTTGAGGAAACTGCTAAAGAGAAAACACTGATAAGTCAAGCCATGTTTTTCCATCACTGAAAAAATCACAATGCGTGTAAAAGTCCAAGAACGATCGAGGGACTGTAGAGACCAGTAGAGGGTCGGTTAATCCGATGATAGATCGAAACTGAAATACACTCATGGATAAAACTTAAGGAAGTGGAAGGTCTTTGATGTCGTTAGTCGTCTATTTTTTTAAAGGAGATCAAGGCTATTTTCAGTACCTTTTACCATGTATATCGGGATTCAGACAATAACTCTGAAAGATATTACAGTGATCTTTATTGAAGACACACGAGATAACCAAAAGTGTGAACAACCTCTGTCTCCTATTAAAAAAATAGACGACCGGTGATATTAAAGACTTTCCACTTCTTTAAATTTTTGCCATGAGTTTACATTAGCACTCTCCTCTTGACAAGGATAGAATGGTCTCCGGAAACACATGTTAATGGTAATGATTTACATAATTAAAAAAATATATTAAAACAGTAATTTTATACCTGATTATACGAAGTCATTGAAGAGGCCCTATTGGTCGTTCAAGCCCCGTTGTGCGTGTTGTGTGTTATACGCGTGTGTCTTGTTCGTGTGTGCTTTGCGTGTTGCACGTTCTTATGTGTTGTGTGTAAGTGTTATGTGTGTGTATTGCGTATGTGTTTTGTGTATGTGTTATTTGTTGTATATGTTATGTGTTTTGTGTCTTGTGCGCTGTCCAGCTCATTTATCAATATCTTCAAGAATTCCACCTCATTTCTTCAACCAAAAGTTAAAAAATCAATAATTTGAAAGATAATTTTGATGAGAAGACAACGGAGATATGAAGAATGGGTATTGTCTTTACGGTGGTGGTGGTGTTTTGTCCATGGAGCAGATCAGATCGGTCCATGCACCCTGATCACAATACCAGTCAACTGAGGTGCCGTATGGATGTCCTCTTCTGGATTGATGTCTGTCATATAGAGGGCTGGCCGGGTATATATGGTCCGGAGTGAGTTGGGTGTTGTAACAGTTATTGCAGTTCCTGTAGGATCTATTCATGTCTGGGTTTATCTTCATTCCTTTAAAATGTCCTGTTCTGATTCTTGATACTGTTGCTGTTGTTAATTGTATTCACGGTACTCGTTATGTTAAAAGGTATTACATCTCAGAATTAAAATATACAAGTATTAGAGTCATCAATTAATTCTTAATTCTGTCACCATTTGCTTTTGTGAATGGAATAAATACCCAAATATGACCATTTCTTATAAGCATCGGTAGTTGAGTGGTAAAATACTCGCCTGCCACGCGGGCGGCCCGGGTTCGATTCCCGGCCGATGCATTTTGTTGTTTTTTTTTTTTTACAATTTTTAAAACTCATATATTATACAAGAATGACATCCACGGCGCCAATTTATAATTGTAACGAATAGTATTTGAATAAAAGCATTTAATCGGGTAAAACCCGGGCGTTGCCCGGGTCATTCGGCTAGTATAATATATATATTTTTTTAATTTTATTTATTAATCAATAACAGGCGCGATATTGATATATTTACGTCTATTACAGAAAAAAAAACAAATTAGAACTTAGAATTAAATATTTACAAATTTACATGTATAAATCGACAGAGTTCATAAAATTTATATAGACAAAGTGGCTGATGTAAGAGAGTTAAATGATTAATATCAGGGAACAATCGATGTCTCACTTCAAGATAATCTTTAATCCCATATTATCAAATTAAAATCAGGATTTATTTTCTGACCTATGCAACTTTCCCATGTCACATTTTTTAAAGACTTAAGTTCTGATTTTTTTGGTTTGGTTACAATAAGTTACAAAAAAAAATGTATAATGACATTATGATAGGGGGAAAAAAGTTGTCAAAGATTAGGGAAACTTATGGAACAATGGAGATAATATCAGTGGTGTGGGGAACAAGATAATTGAACGGGAATTTCCGTATTGTGTTCACCATATCTACATACTTCCGTGGAATTCGGGCTTCCTGATGATTGATTGGTCCTTACCTCCGTTTAGGAATGGAATGTCCCTATTTCGACTATCTATTCACAACACACACACACACTTTGCTCCATTTCAATATATATTCATTAGTAGAATCTCGAACAGATAAAATTCTAATATTTCAACACGATCTTTCGGTCAATTTCAACAACCCTTATCAGAACAGACATAAAAAAATATATAAAAAAAGTGGTCGATAAATGAATGGTTGAAACCCTCGATTCCCGACAGCCATGAACAAAGATCGAGTCCCGCATTGTACACTGTTTTATGTAACGAACCTGTTCATACTTCTCATTGTAAATAACATAAACTAAGTTATTCTTTTTGAGCGGTACCTAGTAAAGTTATTTTGTAACAGAACAGACAATCAGAATATACATTAAGATATAAAGGATATCAGCAATACACACAATCCTGACTTCACGGATAGTAAATCTCCCATCTTCTTCAATACTTTTCATCAACTTCCCGTCAAACTTTGTACATTACCTGAACTCACCCATGTTTTAAGAACCACCAAACATTTTTTGTCTGGAAGATAATTGTTTCCGAAACCCATCGTATATCTTGTATTCTTTAACAAAGGAGAAGACATTGACTGCAGAAACCAAGTGGTAGGTCTTCGATTGACTGTCTAGCTGAGAGGGGATTTCTCCCTTATTGGTGAATTTTCAAGATCACGACAGTTTGGGATGCCCCACTCTCACCTAAGCTTAGAATTTTTCAATACCTCCCAAGTTACCAGAAATTTCCATCAATTTATTTATTTATTTATTGTTACAAAAGCACGAAGTCCAAAGGACTATTGTGCTGTGCTAGTATTATTTACATATATATGATTAATTATTTACACGATGGATTAGTAGTGTTTTGTAAATTATTGTACAAACAGTTCTAAACTTAACAAAGTTCTCATAAGATAGAGTATATACACAAATATTGCTCTATGGACAAATATTCCATCAATGCTCTCCCCCCATTTCTTTAACACGTTCAACTGTACCATTGAGTAACATAAACAAAAACGGAGCTCTATGTGAATGTAAAAATGACGAATTACAACGTGATTCTTTTAAAATATGTGTTAAGCTTTTCTTAGTTCTGAGAAAGAGTCAGCATACCAAAGCTTAATAAATATTTTCTAAATAAACACATTGTAATTCGTTTTATATATATATATACACTTTTTATACATTTGAAAGTATACAACAACAACAGAAAGGCTTTTATTAGGGCCCATTGCCCTGTATGGATTCGCCATACAAAAACAAAATAATACAGTAATTTTTTTTTCTCCCTTTCCCCATGTGCACGTGAGCCTTTGTTTGAAAAGGGATTTATTTACACATCTGTTCTAAAACTTTCCTCACTACCTCTTTTGTGTATGAATCTATTTACAATTGATCTGTAGAAATTATAGAGTTCTATTGCTATATTTTTCTTTTCTGAAATAGTTTTCTGCGTCTTCAGTGGGTTGCTAAATCTCCAGAAGGTGTTTTCAAGATTTTTTTTCTTTCTTCACCTAAATATTTGCATTCTATGATATAGTGGGAGATTTCATCAGATATCATATTTCCACAAATCCTGCAGTGAATATTTTTCTTTTTGATGATGAGACATTTGAAAGTATACCCTCATAGACAAAAACTTTAAAAAGTGGATAGTCTTTGATGTCGTCGGTCGTCTTTTTTTTTCACACGTGGTGTACTTACAGTACCCGCAACCCTTTAATCACCATGATTATCATGACCTTGTATATACTATGGTGGTAATCATTCAAGTAATTTAATAGAGTTATAAAATCTAGTTGGACACTTAAAGATCGTTGAGACATGGCCTGTCTGCTAGGAAAACTCAAAGGAAGATCAATTAAGACAGTAGCATTCTATTTCAGTAAGATGTAGGGTGTCATTGTGTGGTGGAGAAATGGAAATTTTGAGTTTAGGACAACACTTGATAATAGAGTTAAGATTTGAAGGTATATAACCAAAATGATTCCTTAGCGCTTGTTTATGATGAATCTTGGCCGCGGTGAAATACTTGGAGAAACAATTTGCGGTAAAACTTATCAAACATCATTCTACAATCATAAGCCGCATTATATTGTATTATAAATTAACTTTATATAATATTTACGAACCGAAAAATATGTCCAGGGTAGCCTAGTGGACATGGCATCTGCCCGGTAAACGGAACACTGTCCGGTTCGATTCCCATCTCTGGACACTTTTATTTTTCCGTTCATCATTACTCTTCACAATTCATCTTATCATACTTCATCCCTAAGGATAGAAATTGTCTTTATTTCTCCTTAAAATAAATTACGATTTTTCGTTCAAAAGAAACATTTGCGGCAAAACTTGTCAAACGTTGTTTTACAATTTGAGAATCGCCACACTTTGATCTTGTAGATCCAGTTGTTCAGCCAAAGTGGATTATCTACTAAAGAACAGACGATTGTAGACTAGTAAAAAATAAGACAAATTCACCGATAACTATGAAGTTATCCCAAAAGTTGGTGTTTTTCTTAAAACGTTGTTTTTTATATTACTTGGCGAATTATATTATTACGGCGAATACATAATAATACAATTACTTTATACATAATACACAACTTCGCCTTTGCCGGTCCCAAGCCCGGATGAAAAAGGAGGAGGGGGAGCAGTAACAAGCTCACTAAAAAACCTGGGCTCAGCTGGCCATGCTGATAGTACCCTGTAAGGTCTCCAGGGATACAGGATGAGCAGCGTTTGTACTCCATGTTAGGAGCGGCTACACATGGCGTCTGTTCCTCATGTCAGAGGCGGCCATTTCTTTTGGAGCTAAGTCGGCCTGCCACTGAGTAGTGCTCCCAGTCTTAATGACAAAGGCAGACGCATTCTACTTCACCCAGTCATGATCTCAAGCTTTACAAGCTTGATACCTTAATATGATTGAGTGGAGATAAGAAAGAAGAAGATACATAATACATAGACATTATACATAACGGCGAATAATATTGGTATTTCAATTTTGTTGCAAGTGTTTACGAACTACGAATCTTTTAGTTAATAATTTCAAACATAGATGGCGCTCTAATTAAAACGTTCTACAGGCAGACGCCATATAGGAACTATATTTGAGGCAGAAGTGTCACCAGGAAGGTGGGGCACGGAAGAGGAGAAAGATAATTACATAGATAACTAAATAGCATAACTATCTAGTGATGGTTACGTGAAAAGCTCCATATACTGTGTGTGTCTTTGCAGCTATGTTAAGGTTTATCTTAACCCTGCTGAGTTTCCTTGAAGTTCTCCAAAGATACATAAAATGGAGGGTCACACCTGGGTGACTTAGGGAAGTTGGCTGGTGGGGGAGATTAGATTTATCACCTTTCTACTGACTTCACCTTTCTACTGACTTCACCTGACTTCGCCTTTCTACTGACTTCATCTGACTTCACCTTTCTACTGACTTCACCTTTCTACTGACTTCATCTGACTTCACCTTTCTACTGACTTCACCTGACTTCCCCTTTCTACTGACTTCACCTGACTTCCCCTTTCTACTGACTTCACCTGACTTCCCCTTTCTACTGACTTCACCTGACTTCACCTTTCTACTGACTTCACCTGACTTCCCCTTTCTACTGACTTCACCTTTCTACTGACTTCACTTTTCTACTGATTTCACCTGACTTCACCTCTACTGACTTCACCTGACTTTATTGGCTTCTACGATATGGCATCGCTTGAGTCTAGAAGCCAATCTATCACCAAAAATATTCCCTTTCTATCTTGAGCTCATCGTACATTTCAATATACAATGTTCCCGTAGTTACATATAACCTGTTCTTAAACCTATTTCAACAACATTTTTATATCGTGAAGGCTGTCAATTGACATTTCGCCTATTTGCATATGGTCTTCTTATTTACATATCTCGGTATTTAGGTCAAAGCAACCCAGTTTGAACTTTTATTTACGTAAATATTGACATCAAATTCCCACCTTAGGGTGATATTTGTTTTAAAATGGGAGACCGGCAAGTCATGGTTTGTTGTTTTGGCCTATGCTAAGCATTAACAAACTATGACTCCAAACTTCCGTGTTGTAAATCACACCGTTTAGGATCAAAACATCGCTCACAGAATGCGGAATCTTAAAATGACGTTTTCTAACGTATTGAAGATGGAGGTCGTCTGGCTGGTAATTTCTTTACAATAAAGGACACTTCGGCTAGTCCTAACATGGAAGCCTTTGCTGCCGACTATAACATGAGTACAGACTTCTGTATCCCTGGAGAGGAACCCTTGCTGAGGTCTATCAACCAGGTCAGTTGAACTCAGGATTTTTAAAGAAGTCTTTCTCCTCTTCTAACAATTCTGCTGTTGGTCCACATATGTTTGTTTGTCAGAGTTATTCTGCTTGTTTCACAGCTGGCCTTCATATCTGAAGGTTGTTCCCCTATCTGCCACCTGGGGACTGTAGCAGTCAGCTCTGTGCCGAGGGTCGAATGAAGTCATATTGATGAGTGAAAAATGGAAAATTCTATGATGATGATCAGAATACGGATTATAAAAATGAATCATCATCCTCTTTAGTGAAATCCGATAAGATAGGTTCAGTGAGACGTTAGGTACAGACAGAAAATTTGGTCTATCCATTGTTTACACAATATCGCTGTAACTTGTCTTTCTTCCGGGTTAATTGGCTCTAAATGCATGGTCTTCTAACCCCCATGGCAGAACACGAATTCCAGTGGCAAGTGATCCTAGGATCTGACAGTAAAAATGTCTCGTAGGGATGGAGGAAACGTAGAGATGGTAGGGAACAGCGCCTGGGAGCAGGGAGAGACAGGAGTCTTGACAGGGGAGGAAATCCAGTAGAAGAGGACAGTAAAAGTGGAGGCAGGAGGTCCTAGAAGCCTAGAATTTGAGAGCCTTAGACTTCAGGATAGAGCAGCTAGAGGCTCTCGCCTCATGTTTGTCCGGAAGGCCCTTGGCGCAGCAGTTGGTGCACTTGGTGATACGCTGATTGGCTAGGGGAAATATCGCTGTAACGTATCCTACACCTGCCATCGAGAATGATGGATTTACTGAAGCTATTACTCACAGCCCAGATAAGAAATTCCATCAAAAGATAATCCTACATCAAGATTAACATCTTTCTTACATATCTCTCTCTATAAATAAGTCATAAGATAAGAATGAACTTGGAAAACAAGGGATTTATATTCATGGACAAAACTTAAGTTCTATTTCCAAAATAACTTTAATAGGTACCGCTCAAAAAAGAGCAACCTAGCTTATGATATTTGAAACAGTTAATAACATGTGAAGGTTATTCACATATTAAACAAAAGGTTAACGTGGGATTCAATCCCGGTCCATGGCTGTTGGGAATCGAGGGTTTTAACCATTCGTCCACCGATTTATTTTATTCTTAAGTAAGTTGAAAATCTTTGATATATTAGCAAATAAATATTTTTATTCAACCAATATATTATTCCTTTTTATTAAAAATCTAATAAATATAAATTTGAATTTATGCTGAAAGAAGTTCTTAAAAATTAAACTGTGTTTGGTTATAAAGTTTTTTTGTAGGTGTTTATTTACATTCTGTCGAATCTGTCTGTATCCCTGGAGAGGAACCCTTGCTGAGTTCCATCAACCAGGTCAGTTGAAGTCAGGATTTTTAAAGTCTTTTACTCTTCTTCTAACAATGCTGCTGTTGGTCCGCGACTGCTTATTCGTCAGAGTTATTCTGCTTGTTCCACAGCTGGCCTTCATATCTGAGGGTGGTTCTCCTATCTACCACCTGGGGACTGTAGCAGTCAGTTCTGTGCCGAGGGTCGAATGAAGTCATATTGATGAGTTTGTTTTGCTTATCCCTAGTACACATGGTACAGGCCATGATAATCATGGTGGGTAGAAGTAGGCGACTGCTTTTACTGTAAGTACACCACATGTCTACACATGTGAAAAGCAGTTCGACTTTGCACTTACAAATGTGTCAGAGCGCCGGTTGGTTACTTGCACTCACTGGTGGGGTTGGACTTTTGTAAGAATTGGGGACCATTTGAGCATTTTTTTAATATAAAAAAGTGCCCAATTCGGGAATCGAACCCGGGTCGTAGCGGTCGAAAACCAACGGTTTAGACCATCCTTCCACCGACCCCCATATTGATGAGTGAAAATGGAAAATGCGATGATAATGATGATGATTAGAATACGGATTATAAAAGTGAATCATCATTCTCTTTAGTGGAATCTGATTGAGATAGGTTGAAGGACTGACAAGTCCGAAAACTTGAAAATAAAAATTTGAACAAGAAACTTAACCCTGGAAGCTTTATTTATTTTATAATACTGTCGAATTATCCATCGAAAATCTTCTCCAGAATTTTTTTCTTTGAATAATTCAGCTGCGCTAAGTATGACAAAATGACGACGAGATTGGAGATAATTTTGACATAAATCAGCGTATAATATGGCAGTTTTATGTATACGTTGTTAATTGTTATTACCTAAGAATATTTGGACATATCTTGTGGTTGTAAACAATATATAGGTGTATGTGTGTGTATGTGTGTATATGTGTGTATATATGTATATATTTTTAAATGTAATGATGTAACTGTAAATAAAATTCAAAGAATATCTCTATATATGTAAATAATATTTATGAATCTTTCTAAGTTACTTTCTGTGTATCTTTCCATGTTGAATATTTTCTTTGTTATATTTGTATGTACATTTAGCGCAAGTGTCCCTAGGGGGACATAGCGTTTTGAATTGAAATAAATAAAGAAGCCATTATGCTTTAAAGGGAAAAGGATGTGAAAATTACAAAATCCTCTCATTTAAGAATTCTGAGACAAGAATCTTTTTCAAGATTGTTTCGGTTTGTTCTTTATATCTTGTTGTATAAGAAATGAAATCATTAAAGAATGAATGTTTCAGTTACATATGGGACAAACTTCTACTGTCCTTACTGCGAATAAAAATATTGGAAAGGCTTGGCTCATCAGTGGTGAACCCTCCCAATTTCACCAATTTAATCTACCAGACCGCTTCTTAGAGCTCTAATACTGTATTGGATCATTCTGTTTATATATGCTACACTTTTAAAGATTTTAAAAGTCTGACTTTGCCTGTAGTTTGAGGCCATTCCTAACATGGAAGCCTTTGCTGCCGACTCTAACATGAGTACAGACCTCCGTATCCCTGAAGTTGGACCATTGC